GCCCTCCTTCCAGCATCCACAGTTGGCAGTCCTTTGGGAAGCCAGCAATGAGATCAGTGGATCCTGTGCACAGGCAAGCTTGGGGCCGGGGGGGCAGATGGCCATGGACAGGACTGGATTTTGGGGTGATGGGTGCCTTTCTCCTGGGTAAACCCCCTCCTCAGCCCCTGCTGAGGGATCATAATGTCCAGCTTGACAGGGCTGCATGCGAATACTCCCTGTAGAAGAGGCATCAGCCTCACCTTCACAGCAGCTGAGTTCCAGGTAACGCTTGAGAGCTCCCCAGCCTGTCACCACCGCCCAGTTCTGGAGACTCAGCCAAAATCAGGGCAGACTGATGCATGATGGACAGATGCACCATGTGGTTGGACATGAAGATGAGGCTTCGGGTCTCTGCTTTCTACGCAGTTCAGTGCATCTTGCAAACCTCACCTCTCAGTCTGTTGCAAGGGGGTGAAGATCAGCAAGAATAGAGAAGTAAACTTTCTCATTCCAGAAGTTTCTTTCAGCAGCGGGGAAAGCCAGTTCGTCATGGGAGCAGAGGCTGAGAATCTGCCCGTGGAGGAGAACGATGGGCAGAACGAGTTGGGGACGAAGCTGGTGCTGGCGGAGAGAGCACCTGCCTGGCCACGGTGGAACCCAGGGCTGGCTGCTGTTGGCCGCCAGCAGCAAGCCCTCGGCTCTGCCATGTGACATCATGGTCCTTGGCTTATCTGCCTGCAAAACTGGGAAGTAATTTCTCTCTCACAAGGTTGTTCTGAGGCTGGGCTATGTCCACTCATGTGGAGAGCTTGGCAGCACAGTGAGTATTCAGACAGCACTAGTTGATAAGAGGCCTTTAAGATACACGCAAGTCCACCTTGCCTCGTGGCTGCGCAGGGGACACTGAACGGTGCTGTGGGGAAAGTGCTGCTTGTGCTCCGTCTCCTCCAGAATCCTCCCCAAAGCCCATCAGGAGGTACAGTTGCCCGCTCAGTGCTATTCTGTCCATGTCATGACCCTTCCCTGCCCTGGAAGGCTGTGTCCTCGTCATGGCAGTCAGACCTACCGCAGGAAGCCATCAACAACCTCCCGATGTGCCAGGTCCACGCCCCCACAACGCATGGTTCGTGTGAACACTGCCATGAGGATGGGGTGGGCGTGGGGCCTCTGCAGTGGGCAGGCTCATGGCCCCCAGTGTCCTCACACACTGACTTCCTGTAAGTAGCCCAAACAGCACGTTCCAGTGTGCCAAGCACTCGCTGGCCTCCTGGCTGTTCTGAAAACCACCCTAGGACGTGGGAGGGGGAGGACGTTTGAAGCTGAGAAAGACTGAGACCCTTGTGAGAGGGGCTCAGGGCTGGGACCCAGCTCTCCTGACTCCCGGACCAGGATTCCAGGGGAGCCCTTCGGGGCTCGGGGACCTTCCCACCACACACTCCTGCTGCCTGAAGCATCAGGACTTCAAGTGTGGGCCCAGATCCAGGAGGAAGTCGATTGCTTTACTCGGTAGGAAGTTCCTGGTCTTTTTCGTCCTCTTGGCCCTCCTAGAAACTCCGGGAGGGCCTCTCCATCAGCAGAGCATGGCAGGGTGGGCGGCAGCACCCTGCGATCTCGGAGCCACACGCTCTCCAAAAATGCCAACAGCTCATCTCAGGACAGACGTGGCCTGAGACCAAGGCTGAGCCACTGAGAACTACACCTGGGTCCCCGTCACTTATTCCTACCTCTGCAAGTGGGGCAAAATCATCATTATCTAGGGTGGGGAGCAGGAAGAAAGACCACAGGGAGAGGGGCTGCTGGAGAACCATGGGTTGGGTAAAGGCCACCAACGGGAGGAGGAGGAAAGTCCAGAGTGGCCGTCACCCTGGCAGACCCTGAGCCCAACTTTGTAGCGATGTTTGGAATGCCTGCCACTCACTATCACTCGCTGACAACGCACCTGTTCACAGAAATAGAGTCTGCCTATACCAGTGGGTTTCAAAACTCAGTATAGTGCCCTGAGGGCAGTGTAGAGGAAATAACAAGGACAGTGACTTACAATAAAGTGCTGTTTATGTGAGCGCAAGTGCCCAGGCCTGTTGTCACTAGATGGAGAGATGCGGCAGGCAAAGCCTGTCCCCTGTGTTTAGCATCACCAGGATCGCGACAGCCACACCAGCTGAGACAGGTGCATCTTCTGGCATTAAGGGCAGGTGACTTTTCAAAATGGTGAATGACTCTCTGTGATGTTCAGGACAAAGTAATATCATCTTTTGATTTACACGGTGGTTGCATTCTGGGTAATGTCAGTGCATACGACAACCTTGCTCAGAGTGTTTTCGTGGGAACGTGCAGCAGGACCGTGGAAGTCTACGTGGCAGAGGCTGTCGTGGTCTGCATTTCTGTGCCCTGCACGGCCTGGCATGCAACGTCCTGCCCTCCTCAGTGAGAGTTACTCATTGTGAGAACCAAATGTGTCCCCTGTGGTGCTAAATGCCCTGGCCTCCTGGGACTCTGTCTAGTTCTAGACCTCCAAAGGCAACCTTTCACCCAGGTGAGCCTATCCCGTGCCCTCACCTGTATCCCGTGCACAAAAGGCCCAGCCTGCATCTGTGCACAAGGGTCCTGAGGCTGTCGTACAAATCGCTGGGTGGTTGAGGCAATGGGATTTATTCTTTGACAGTTCTGTAGGCTGGAAGTCCGAAATCACGATGTGAGAAGGACCATGCGCCTTCCACAGGCTCTAGGGAGGGCCCTTACCTCCCTCTTCCATATTCTGGTGGCTGCTGGCAGCCCTGTGCCTGCAGAAGCATCACTCCAGCCTCTGCCTCTGTCTTCACATGGCCTTCTCCTATGTCTCTGTCTGTCCTGTAAAGACACCTGCCATTGGATTTAGGGCCCACCCAGAAAATTCAGGGTGATCTCGTCTCGAGATCCTTAATCACATCTGCAAAGATCTTTTTTCCAA